AATAGAATGGTTTTACTGTTTATTATATTAAACATGAAATTTGCTAATAGAGGGCACTGAATAATTTGAGTGACTCCTTGACTTGTTGATTTTTTTCCATTTGTCTATCTTCATACATGTGTATTGTTTTGGCATTTTAACTGCCAATTGTATAAAAAGAAAATTTAAAAAAAATAGCTAGTTAAAAAATCAATAAAAATAAGCTTCTGTTATTATTTTTAAATGTTTTGAAATTTTAATCAAGCAATCACTGGATTATGTATCAAATTATGTTAGCAGTAATAGGGGTAAAACAAGATACCGATTTGTCAATCTCTTCCTTTTAAAAAGAATCAGGGCTCTTTATTATATTGTCCATTAGTTTTATTTGGGATTTGATCGACCTTTTACGGAATGGGAATGATACCTTTAATTTTTACCCCTTAATTAATGTCATTTTGTACACCAAAATTAAGAAGTAATTTTTCTGGAATGGATCAATTTAAAAAAAACAACCAAAAATATAAATTAGAAAAAAATCTGATATTCATTTCGATCACCGTTGACATTTGACAGATGTATATTTCTTATCAGTGATTTATTTAGGATTAAAATATCTTTCTGGTATCCTGCTATGTGAAAAACAAATGTTAAGCTTGAATATCATATGGTCCGTATTAGAGAAAAACATTATTGTCCCAGCAGGCAGCTTAGGTCATTGAGGAAACTTATGTTCCAGTTGTGATTCTCCATTGAAAAGTGTCAGTTTTAGCATCGATGTCTTGTGGTTTAGTGGAATTGACATATCTATTAAAAATAATATGTATTGAAAAGTATTTAACATTTAATGATAATTACCCCAAAAATTGACAAATATTTAATTCCTCACATTGGATATCCAGTCAAAAGTAAATTGTTGTTTTAGAACATGAGTTTTTGTGCATGTTAATCATACCATTGTACACTTTTTTCACATATTGAGCGAAGTGGAAAGTCTTTGTTTATTTTTACCAATTGTTCAATAAAAATATTTCTAAACAGTTTTAAATGTCTTTCTTTTTGTCGAGCCTTCGACTTTTGTCGAAAAAGCGAGACATAGCGATCCTACATTCCGTCGGCGTCGGCGGCGTCCACAAATATTCACTCTGTGGTTAAAGTTTTTGAAATTTTAATAACTTTCTTAAACTATCCTGGATTTCTACCAAACTTGGACAGAAGCTTGTTTATGATCATAAGATTATATTCAAAAGTAAATTTTGTAAAAAAAAAATTCCATTTTTTCCGTATTTTACTTGTAAGTGGACTTAGTTTTTCTGCCAGTTAACATTACATTCACTCTGTGGTTAAAGTTTTTAAAATTTCAATAACTTTCTTAAACTATCCTAGATTTCTACCAAACTTGGAAAGAAGCTTGTTTATGATCATAAGATAGTATCCAGAAGTAAATTTTGTAAAAAAAAAATCCATTTTTCCGTATTTTACTTATAAATGGACTTAAGTTTTTCTGCCAGGAAACATTACATTCACTCTGTGGTTAAAGTTTTTGAAATTTTAATAACTTTCTTAAACTATCCTGGATTTATACCAAACTTGGAAAGAAGCTTGTTTATGATCATAAGATAGTATCCAGAAGTAAATTTTGTAAAAAAAAAATTCCATTTTTCCGTATTTTACTTATAAATGGACTTAGTTTTTCTGCCAGTTAACATTACATTCACTCTGTGGTTAAAGTTTTTAAAATTTTAACAACTTTCTTAAACTATCCTGGATTTGTACCACACTTGGACAGAAGCTTGTTTATGATCAAAAGCTAGTATCTAGAAGGAAATTTTGATAAAATTTTGTTCCATTTTTTCTGTATTTTACTTATAAATGGACTTAGTTTTTCTTCCAGTCAACATTACATACATTCTGCAGTTTAAGTTTTTAAAACATTTATTAGATTCATAAATTATCCTGGATTTTTACCAAACTTGGACAGAAGCTACTTACAATCAAAACATAGTATAGAGGGGAATATTTTTATTAATTTTTTTCCTCATTTTTGTTGAGCCTGCGATTAACACCAAAAGTAGGCGAGACACTGGGTTCCGCGGAACCCTTACGAATTTTTTGGGTCACTGGATTGATGTCTTGTTACATATACTGAAATATTTTTGTTGTTCTACAAACAATCAATCCATACAAAAAAAGTTGAAAACCAATATCAGCTTGAATTCTTTTTTTTATATTAGGCATTGGGCATATATATATACAAAAAGTAACTGTAACCTTCATTTTCCTTCATTGACTCAGCGAAAGAAATATCAAATGGGACCATTCATACTTTTGTTAAATTGCCATGTTTGGATAAAATAAACACTCGTGTAAGTACAATGAGCCAATAAACAAAAAACAGTATAAATTTTATTGAAGAATTCTTGATTTACAACACCTGGGCTGTACCTGTTCAAAATCAAGTTAAACAAGGCGGAGTTGTGGTTTTATAATTTGACTTTTTTATGATAAAGGAGGGGATTATTTTACGGGAGTGTAATTTGAAACCAACGTTTTAATTACCTGTCTTAAAGGTTAACAAATCGAGTGGAATTTGGAAACCGAAACATGAAACGAGCATCAGTCTTGATGTCGTCTTTGGAAATTGAGACTAAAACCAGATATCGAGCACATTGTGGAATTACGTGTCACAAATTAAAAACGGACATCTGATCTAATATTAATGTATGAAAAATGAAATCTCATTGTTTTGATAATGAGTAACTGTAAATGAAGCTGGTAAAATGATAATCACGGTGATAATGTCAAACTTTTGACCCATTCAATTATGGGCCACATACCCTTAAACAATCTCCCATGCCAACTTATAAAATGTCATAATTGATTTAGCTACCTGGGATATCATCACACAGTTTGACAGAAAAACTATAGTCCCTTTAAATATCATCCAACACCTGTGAATGTTCGACAGGGATTAGCGCTTATCTATTTTTATCATATTTTTGTGAAAAAGTATTTAAGGAATAAAATTGATCGACCCAATTTTTTAAATGTCACCAATTTTTATGTAAATTTTTTACTGGTTATACAAATCTGCAGTCGTTTGCTTAAAAAAGTAAATAATCCTAATTACACCAGCATGTTGTTTAAACATTTTTTTAAAGTAATTAAAAAACCTTTTCAGTAGTTCAAAATGGCATGTGTCAGCTATACAGATTACATTTTATGCAATAAATGTTTGTTTAAATATTTGAAATGAAAATTTAAATAGATGGGAGATAACTCCTTCTGTCACAAACTCATCTTTTAGGACCTGTCATTTCTCTTCTGAGTGTGGTTTTTAAGTATTTTAAAACTGACTGTTTACCAAGATGATTAATGACTTAATGCAATATTTGGGTTTCTGAACAATATGTTTTTATTATACCATCAACTCTCAGGCACTTGTCTTTGATTTTTTTTTTTATACCGCTATACATTTATTTAACACTTATCTTTGCAAACTTGGTTGGCTTATGTGAAATGAGTTGAAGATCCCTTATATACTGTGATGAAGTGGTTATCGTTAGTTACTGTTGGTTACTGTTTGTTGTTTAAATGTTTTTTGCAGACACTTTCAAACCTGCTTTCCAAATTGTTTACCTTTTGCATTTTCATCAACAAGCTAGTGGTCATCCTCTTGGTAGATGCAAGTTTTTGTCTCCCCTTGACGGAGTCAAAAAGTGAGACATAGGTATGCTGTTTGCAGCGGCGGGAGCAGCAGCGGCATCAAGAATGTATTAGTTTGTGATTAGGTCTAGTTTATGGTGAACCACTAGTGTAGTAGGTCAGTTTAAGGGGAATCATTAGCGGAAGGCCAATGTTAATTGGTATGCAGTTGTATAAGCATTGACACATCTCATTTCCATGGAGAATATTTGGCCCTGCCCCCTCAGTCATGGTCTATTGACTTTGAAAATTTTGCTTAGTTTACATGTATTAGTTTGTGATTAGGTCAGTTACAATTAATGTTTGTGTTTAGTTTTGTTTAAAGGGAAGGACTTATGATAAGTCAATGATATTTGGTATGCAGTCGTATTAGCATTGGCACATCTCATTTCCGTGGAGATTGTTCAGCCATGTATCTTCAGTCATGGTTCAATGATTTTGAATATTTGCATAACTTACATGTAAAGCATTTCTATTTTAATTTCAACATTTGCATTATAAAAATAACAAAAAGGCAAGACATATCTCTGTGTTAACAGTTTATTATTGTATAATAGAAAAGAAAGGATATGTGTATCCATCCATGACACAAAATCAGTATAAGCACAGCAAAAAATACAAAAAGCAATGGAACAGCGCTTTTATTGCTGTTCTTCATCTTAAAGTGAGGCCTTTAACACAGAGCAAAAAACTCTAACCTCACTGCAAGTTTAAGACGGTTTTGGTCTCTTTTTAAAGGCATACATCTTTGCTCTTTAATGTTAATAGTCTCATTGGCAATCAAACCATATATTCTCTGTTAGTTTTGTGCTCAGGTTGGTTTATATGTCCATTGACTGCATTTTAGGGATTTCCCCCTTTTGCGTAAAGTAAACATTTGATTCCCGAAACTCTTTTAGTGTAAAAATTTGTTATGGGGGCACCTATAAAATACCCTATCCTTTTTTGGAAAACTTCACAATTTTTTTGTTACAACACCTTTTTAAGAACTGTCAACGGTGAAACTTGTTAAGAAAAGTAGATTCATTTTAAAGTAATTGATGTGTGGAATGCATTACTTCGTTAGCACACATTTAAACATGCAATTATTAGTATTTATTGAAAAGTACCCGAAGATCTCAGTGTGAGTCCTGATTACAGATTTTATAAAAAAAGTTACAATGTATTAATAATTCTTTCTGGCAAGTGCTGCCATCAGTTTGAAAAATCAATAATATTGTTAATGACTTAATTAATAAAAAAATCTTGTGAAAATATAAATTACAAAAAAAAAAAATTTCTGATATCTTTACATTATATTTTGTATTCTTTTTCAGGAGAGGTCTGTTAGCTTTATACATGGCAAATATCGTAAGTAAAATTCTGACAGATAGCTTATAGTTTTTGCAATAGTCCCCTCACTTTTATTATGAATTTAGTTCTAATGGAATCGATTTAGTAGAAATGAGGTCTCAAAAACTCTTTTTTTTTTCTCTTCAAGTGGAAGCAGCTACTGTAGAGTCATTTATTTTCATTGGTACCAATTTTTGTAGATTGAGGAAAACTCATATTTTCGTGGATATTTAATTTCCTGGTTTTGTCAAGTTTGAATTTTGTAACAAGCCTATATAAATTTGCATATTGTTGTACATTTAAATTCCTGCCTCTCCTATACCCAAGAAATCCAGCAAATAAAAATGAATCACAGTATTTACTCTATTCCTTCTGACCAGGCCAGCTAAAGAGTTGATGTTATCAATTTTAAATCAGAATCGGACTTGTATTTTTATTGAAAGATTGTTTTTGATTTATTTATTCAAGGTGGTCTTAAAAAATTGATCTACATTAAAAAGATAAAAATGTTTTGGAAACAGGGAAATGCTCATGTTAGAAATGATATGACATTATCTGCATTCTGGAGGGAATTTTCATATAGATATATTTCAAAACTGTGGAAATATGACATTTAATAAATATATACTTATTAATATTGGGAAATTATTATGTGCACACCATATCTTATATTTTCAGTTTCTTTTTCACTCTACTAAACCCGAAGGGTAAACTGGGGTTCAAAATTATGGTCATCTGGTCTCAAGGAAAATTTTCTGCCCTATCTAACATACCAATTGTTAATTGTTCTTGCCTGAATTTGAATCAAATTGATGCCACTGGACATTGCATGAGCAGTTAATCAATCAATCAATCAGTCAATCAATTAATATAATCAATTTATCAATCAATCAATCACTCAGTTTATAAACGACAAAAATCAATATGAGTTGTAACTTGAAAAAAAGACTTTTTTATTTGGCCTATTTTTAAAAAAGATTTGACAATTTATATGATGATACCAATTAAATTTTGATATGTACTTTTGTATTTATTTTCTAAGTGTTATAACCATTAGAAATGTTGCTACACCCATTTACACATTTGCTACAATTAACAATTATATTTGTCTATTGTAATAATACAGGATGTTGTTGGTCTAAAATAATTATTATGGAACATTATTATTGATATTTGAATTGTGTAAATTGTCAAGTTAGGGTTGCATGCACTTTATTAGAAATTACTTCACCTTGACCTTGCTGACTGTCTCTGCAATTAGTGAAGTACATTTTATGGAGAGAAATAATAATCAAATCAATGCTGGACCAACAATTTGTTCTCATGTCCAGCCTATGATAGTAGAGCGGCATTATATTTAATGGTTGTGTTTCTGATCGTTAGTCTGTCTGTCTGTCCTTCCTTTAGTCTGTTACTACTAACAGGTTAAAGATTGTTTACCATGAAGTTGTGGTCACATCAACTTAAATCTTAGTTCCCATGTTCATTATGATGGCATTTCAAAAAAAAATGTATGCAAAATTTCAACTTTGACCTCATTTTTGTTACTGAACAGTGACACATGACAGTGCGGGAGTGCAGAGTCTTGTTTTTCCCTTTGAATACATCTTTATTCTGGAGGGGATCTGTGGCCTAGCGGTTTTAGTATTTCCTCAGCAGCAAGTGGGGTGCTATTCTAATCTTAATCTAAATTGACTAGGGGTTGGCCAGTGTTCCTGCCAAAGGTAGGTGGTTCCATCTGGTTACTCTGGCTTCCTCCACCAATAAACCTGGCTACCATGATATAAGCCATGTGTTCTGAAAGTTGAGTCGAGCTCAAACAATCAACTTATCTTTTTGTGTGGTGTCCATAACCAATTTTTCATCAGCAGTTTTCTATCATAGCTATTTTAAACTTGATACCAAATTTGATGTAGATTGATTAATTGATTGTTGGTTACTTAACACGTCATATGGCAAATATTTCATGCATGTTCAGGAGAAAATTTAAAAGAAGATGAATTATAATACAAATGCATTTCATACATGTACTTGTACTATCTTTATACCTTCTATTTTTCGATACACGTATTACTCTCATAAATCATTTTAAGAAGAATTGTCACAATTCATGTTGTTGACCTGTGCTATCTCAATGACATATACATCCCGCCTGCATGTGGGTTAATTCATATTTGTGCATTAATTTGGTCTAAACATTAAAGTACATCTTAAGCGCTGAGATTCAAGTGTGATCTGCATTCCACGTGTGGTGGTTGCTCAAGAGGAAGCAATGGTTTATTGCTCTGTACCAAATGTAGTAACATCACAACGGCTTATCTTTTGTCGTCTTTAATACCATTTATAATATATAAAAGGATTTATCTGTAGCAGATAAATTGGTAGACTTTATATCGCCATGTTTGTTTTTGGTGAATAAACGATACTGAAAGAAATGACTATAAAAGTTGGTTGAAAGTCCGCCCCTCACATAATTTTCTTTTCACATTATTGCCGATTTTGACATGGGTTTTACATTGTCTCCTCGTCTCTCCTATGTGTCACCTCAGCGATTTAAATGGAAAACTAAATTTGTCATCTAATAAATAAATTATTAGAGAAGATTATACGTCTCAACTGAGAGGTATTAAAGAATAAAGGCATCCAGCGATTTCAATTTACGATCGTGTATAGGTGAGAGATGCCCTTGGAATGAGAAAAAAATCAACGAAGATGGTTACACATGAGAAGTTATGCTTACACATTTATAATTGGTCCTTCGCAGATTATTTTAGTGAAATTCATTACCTTTTTTCATACAAACGACAGGGTATTTTCGAATCTATTCTGTGATAATAATTGGGGGTTAGACAGGAGAATGATTCTTAACAATCGTCGCACAAAATCTTATTTACACCTTGGCCAACCATGTGAAAATTATTTGTAAATAACAATAATCTGGGTCCCACTGTCACTTAATCAATGGCACATGAAAAGACTAGTTATAAGCCTTTACAGGATGCGGTAGTTCGTTAAGTTTCGTGTTGATTGTGTCAATGGTGTCATAGAGTTTTTTCAGTGCATTTATTGAATTTTAAAATTTTCACAAATGCATTATAATTACTAACAAACAGCTCTCTGATTTCAGTATCAATGTAAATTTCAGCATTTACATCTAATTGAGTATTACAAATTGAAAACTCGGTGGTAAAAGAACACTGTTCCAAACGTGATTGAATTGAAAATTTCAGAATTAACTACTCATACATAATTCTTATCAGATTTATACAGAATTATAAAGAAAATAATTACAAGATTTTTGTACATGTATTATTCTTTAAATTGACATACATGAATTTTTAAAATTACATAAAAGATAATTTTGAAATTTGAAATTAAAATTACGCGTTAATTGATATGAAAGGATCTAGCTCACTGTGCAATAGATAATGTAAGAACAAAAATTTCAATTATGAATTTAATTTGAAGATATACAACTTGAACTTTGACAGTCTTACAAGGTTTCAAATTAGCATTAGAATAACATTGCCAAATCCAGTTAAATTGACCTGTGGGGTATCATATTCATAGATAGATTATGGGTGTCGACCAGTTAGTGAGAAACAAGGGTTGATGTACGAATTAATTTAATGAAATGAATTAAAAGCAATATAGAAACTTAGAGACAGCAACCACAGCAGGACAAGATTACATAAAAAATATTCAATGATTGAAATCTGCATTAAAATACCGGTAAGGAAAGGTGGTATGATTGCCGATGAGACAATTATCCACCAGTCCAAACGATGTATCGTACACGCTATATGTAATCAACTATAGGTGACACCCACAGTACAGCCTACAACAAAACCCATTCTGTATAGTTTTAGTCTGTTTTTATGTGTGGCTCAAACATGGTCAAATCTGACCTGTGACCTTTTGTAGGCGACTTGCAAACTGATGTCTCATTTAAAAGAACATGATTGCCCTTTAAAATGATGAAAAGAATTTTATTGCAATGTTTTATTTGCTTGAAAGTGACCTGATGACCTGATGCAATCTTTGAACCTGACCTTGGGACATAAGGGCTCAGATTTGTTAGACTGTCATTTTGAAAATAAACGGTTTGGGATGCTAACTTTAGATTTATTTGGAATAGGACCTTGTTACTATGCATAATAATAACTGCCATGGAAAGACAGTCAAGTTCCAATTTCAATGATTGTGCAAAGGTACTGTTCCAGAGTTATGCCCCTTGAATTATATTAAAATAGTAAAAATGAGTTTCCTTTTGTTCCCTTTGGAAGACCTTGTGCAGGTTGATTATTATTTTCACCCTCACTTTTAGTTCAGACTTAATTATGCCCTTAGCAAAAGGTGTCTGCTTTGAAATTAACATAGCTCTGGAGTTGGACCTAATAAGACTAAGCTTTTTAATGTTTCAATGCAACCTACCATGAAGCTGTGTCAATTACTGAAACTAATAGTACAATGAAGTCTCATTGCGACAACTTTCTTTAACATTTTCAAATGACTACCCCCCCTTTTTATATTCAGGCTACAGAAACACTGTACAGAATGGTTGTAGCCCGAGGATGGTTTAAACCTGTCCCACATGGTGAGGTGAGTAATACATATGTAATACATCTATTATGTGTGTTTGTGAGTACAATTATAGATGTGTGAATATCTGTTAATGTGGTGTGTGTGTTTTTGTTTTATCTGTAATGGAACAGAACAATTGATAATGATTATCAAGGATTACCAAATAAGGCATTATATAACAAATAGTCCTGAGATTGCTCTGACATCCCTTAGCCTGTTTTTGGGGACTGGTTCGGATTGGGGCTGTCAGATATTAAAGGGTAATCGATATTTAGGACACATGAAAATTGCTGACAAGACTCAAAACAGGCTGTCGGACATCAATGACTTTATCCTTCCTGACCTATGCTTATCCTGAACCATTTCCTTACGTTTTAAACTAGTAAGTCTAGAGATATGTGTTTCTAGGGTTCCCTTTCAATCTGTTATCATTATTGCATACATAAATCTTTTTGGTTTTTAGGGGTTGGTGTTGAGGAGGGGGGTGTCAAATTTCAGATGATTACTCTTAAAGTACAGATCCTTACGAGATGCATGTATATTTTTATTTATATTTAGGGTGTATGCCTGTATAAAAAAGAATCTGTCTTGTTGGTTTTTTTTTCCTTTGGCAAAAGGAAACTGGCTTGCACATTGTTTGTATTAATAAAAAGGTTTAACCTTGACCCTAATGTCATCTTATGTAAACTTGTGTTTTACTAGAATTACTAAATGATTTATCCTATTTTAAGGTTTGGTTAAAACTTATTTTGCAGTTTCAGAAATTTACCTTACAAAGATAGGTAACTCTGTCTTATATTAAAAAGTTGCTTAATTTTGCAATGGATACTGTAAATATAAAGTAGTTCAAATAAATATTTATATATGAATTTTTTGAAGGGACAAAAAAATGGAGGAAAAAAAAAGAAAACTATTAAGTGTTTTAAAAGAAAAAGTGAAAGTTAGCTCAAACTTCAGTGACAGAATTATCTGTGAAAGTGATTTTGAATAATCTGTTTCTTTAAATTATTTGTCTCAAGACATTAAGGAATACAATGTCTAAGTGACTCATTTTCTTTGTTTCAATGTTTTGAGGAATTAGACAGGATTTTTCAGGATATTAGATGTCCAATTTCCCGTATTTAATTCCACCAGATGGCAGATATTTGCTGTGAACAAAATCCCCCTATAATTAACTGTAAATTAACTATTGTTATTGTTATAGAGTAGGCATTGGGACATTGAGGCTTAAAAAAGTAATTTTGATGATTTTGTGTGGACTAAACCATATGGTGTCTATGAAATTTGTCCAGTTCTAGAGTCTAAAAGTCTAAATATGTTGTGATTAATTTAAAGACATAACAAAAGATAAGCCATAACAACACCAAATGGTCAACATTAAGATATGACAATATTTTCTTCGCCGAATAAAAACAGTATATTAAATTTCTTGAAAAGTATCTTAAATTCTCATAAAATTTCACATTTCAGAAAATGAGAACTTTTGAACTATATTCCTTTTCTGTCATTACATTGTTATATGGCAATGACAATGTATCTTTTCTGTGGGAGGGATGGCTTGGGAAATGAATTTTTTAAAGACGAACAATTTTTTTTAACTTAAATCAAAAACAATATATTTTTTTCAATGACAAACTGTGAAAAAAAAAATATTTTGGAACTCAACGTATTTAATCTATTTGATGATTTTCAACAAAAACAAATTTAATTTTTTTCATTCCCCTTCTAAAAAGAATTTTTTCTCAAAAATTAAGAAATTAAAAATCCAAACAATTTATTAAAAAGATAAAAACCATTCCCCCGCAAAAGATGAATAGTTGGTGCCTTAAATTGTTTGACACACATCAATAAAAAACAACATCCTATGCCTTTTTACTGCAGTTTTAATTTGTGTAATACAATAATGCAGATAATTCGATTGTTCCTGTTTGGTTGGTTTGACTCCGGAGACCCCATTAATAAAAACATGGACTTTTCCCCACAAGGATGAAAAAATAGAGCTAACATCCCATAAATCATGTATGGCAACTTGAAAAAAAATCTTGACAGCTTCCCCCATGGGTCGTAAACTAGACTTTGAGATTGATTTTATTAGTATTGATAAAGTGTCATGGATAAACATAGTTATCCGTGATTGGTTGGCTGTTGTTATACTTTCGACTGCCGTGGAGATATTGTAAATCGTAATATAAAATCTTGTATCTTCAAGTTAGTTTGCTTAAATTGTGCTACTGGTTAAATTAATCAGCACAATTTAAGCAAACTATTTACAGACTTTTATTGTTACCGACGGCAGCTCGATTGTATACATTGGGGAAGTTTTTAAAAAGTTACATTGATTGTAGAAAAAACAAATAAATACGTGTCAGGTGTCATGCTGCTAAGTCGGAAACGCTTGGCATGTTTGATTTAGTTGTAGGACGAACCGATACCTAAAGCCCATAGGTTATGTATTGTCTAATGTCTGCGATATTTGTGAAATATTGACGTTTTTTAATTAAACCTAAGTTCGTTTAGAAGGATTAGACTGTTTGTCAAAGAAAATTAACAAAATAGAATCAAAATCTATATAGTAGTTTATCTAACTTAAGTAGAATCAATGATTATATACAAGACTTCCTAAATACTATTGACACATTGACTTGTATGATTTATCAACACATATTACGTGTGACACATTGATAGCCTAGTCTTTCATTAATTATTTTGACATGTTGAAATCCAATTTTTTCATAATCAAGGCCATATTGCAGTACATGATAGCCTTGCAGAACAAATTTTGTGGTTTCATTAGATGTTTCAATATATCAAACTGGCATATATTTATTTGGCCTTTTAAAATGGGGGCTTTTGTACTGTGGGTGTTCTTAAAATGTGAAAATCAATTGTTACAACTTTTAAAAGTGGTCTTATTCACAGTGCTGTGCTTGAAAGTTAAAATCAGTTGTAATGCCAAGATTTTATTACCCTCAGGCATAGATGACTTTTTTTAAAACTGATTCTGAACAACTTTTTGATTTTTGGGTTTTTAGAGCTCTTTAATTCTTTTAATTGGTTTAGCCAATCAACTGTTTGGATTGGGCAACACTGATGAGTCTTATGTAGACAAAATATACACTTCACGTACTATATTATAAGTCTAGTAAGTAGTATGGTTGATTTTACTCCCATTTCACATGTTATAAACTAAATGAGTTTTACTTGATTCCTAAAAAGTAGAATTTTGCAGTAATTTAATAGCTATTATACTCTGGTTTTTTTTTTTTAAATAAAAGTTTTGAGGAAAATATATACAGAATGTTATTGTACAAAAATCTATCAGATTTTTACAAATGGAATACTGCTTTTGAAATGGTGATGGGGTTTATTGAAAAAAGACAGAAAACTCCCAAAAAGAGACAGTCTATCATATCTCTATCTAAAACATTGATGAGTGGCATCAGGTTGTGGCTCAAACATTGTCAAATATGACATGGAACCTCATGGGGTTTTGTCTGGTTACCTTTTGATCTGATGTCTCTTTTAAAAGGACCTTGGACCTTTGGGGGTTTGGCTGGCGACATTGCAACCTGATGTCTTGCTTAAAAGAATCTGTGACCTTTAAAAATAATAAAAAAACTGAGAATAAGATCAATTGACAACTGTCTAATAAGTTTGCTTAAATGGGACATGGTGACCTGAGACAGTGACTGAGTGACCTAAGGGGGGTACCCTATTGGAGCCCCAAGATTTATAAAATCAAGTGTCAAGTCAGGGATGAACATCTAGTTGCAAGGTCCAGTAATCTCAAGGAACTAACTTAATGTTTGGATTCTTATGGATGAGATAAAAATTTTCTTCATCTGACAGAGATAACCAAGGATAATAATATGATGACCAGATTTCATTTCGACATGAGTTTGAGACATAATATTCAAAACCTTTCAACTCATTTCACAAAAACTCTTTCAAGAAAAAATACCTGTAAGTCAATAACTTACTATCAATTTTTATCGTAAGATTTTTTGTAGAAAGGGGCCCCTTGTGTAATAAATATTCTGTTTTACAGTCTTGGTTGTAAATGTTCGTTCTATACGCCTTTCAGACCGTACTTTAAAACAGTGTATTGTTCCTTACGATGGGTACGATTTCAAATAGATTCATAGCAATGTCAAAAACATTAAATGCAGGTTTAAATGAAAATTCTTGATGAAGTGTCAAATTAAGAAATTTCAATAAGAGCTGTTGACAGTATTGTGAATGAATTGATTAATTAAAATCTCCAATTTAAGTGAAGTTTGGCGTATGTCACATATGTTTTGGGTTTCACCACTTGAATTAACTACATAAACCCGAGCATAATTTATTGTGATGTCGGGTGTACATAGTTCATTGATAGTTTTTTTACATGTATTATAAGGAGAAGAATAGGGCAGTGAAATTAGAAATTTTTGGGATGGGTTTATTTTATCTTTACTAAAATACTCTCTTTCTAGAATTTGATCATTTGAGAGGACAGAATTAGGGATAACAAAAGGTTGAAAATAAAATGGGGCAAACAGGTTAGCCCAAGGTATCCTGTATGGGAACCCATAGGGTAGGCCTGATTATGAAAATATTTCTAAACCACTACTTAGGGTCAATAATGTTTTGATGTACTGGAATGTATAAATACATAGCCAGAGGCAGATTTAGAGGGCACTTATGGAGCTACATAAATGGTTTATGAATAGACTTTTTTAAAAGTCCCACTCCTAAGGTCGCCTTGGAGTTATTTCCCCCCCCCCCCCCTCCCACCTCCCCCACCTTCTTTCAAAATCCTGGATCCACAACTGATAGCACTTACTTCCTTCAATGAGGACAAATAGTCCAAGGCATGAGATATGTAGCTAGGAAAAGGCATGCTTTCTGCATGTTGAAGAACCAAAGCAAACTTTCATGGGATCTAGCTAGGTGGCCACCTTTAAACAAAATTTTTCATTCCACTTTAAAAATGAAAATTTCCAAAGGGTGTAGCTTTATACCTTACCTAAAACACA